CTAAGGTACCGCTATTTAAAACTAAGATATCTCTATTTAAAACTAAGATATCTCTGTTAATAGAGATATCTTTATTAATAGAGATATCTTAGTCTTAAATAGAGATATCTTAGTTTTAAATAGAGATATCTTAGTTTTTAATAGAGATATCTCTATTAAAAGAGATATCTCTATTTAAAACTAAGATATCTCTATTTAAAACTGAGATATTTCTATTTATAACTAAGATATCTCTATTTAAAACTAAGATATCTCTATTTTCATTGTTAATAGAGATATTATAGATTTTAATAGAGATATCTTAATTTGAAATAGAGATATCCTAGTTTTTAATAAAGATATCTTAGTTTTTAATATAGATATCTATATTAATAAAGATATCTTTATTAATAGAGATATCTCTATTTAAAACTAAGATATATCTGTTTAAAACTAAGATATCTATTTAAAAATAAGATATCTCTATTAACAGAGATATCTCTGTTAATAAAATTATTTTTATTATTATTATTATTATTATTATTATTAATATTAATATTATTATTATTACTATTATTATTATTATTATTATTATTATTATTATTATCATCATTATTACTATTTCCCGCCATTATTATTAAACAAGTTTTTGTTATTATTATTGTTCTTTTTATTATTATTATTATTTTTATTATTATTATTATTTTTATTTCCCGTCATTATTATTAAAACATTTTTAGTTATTATTATTATTATTTTTATTATTATTATTATTATTATTATTATTATTATTATTATTATTATTTTATTTTATTTTTTTTATATTTTTCATGCCACACGCAGGCCGATTTATTACAGCTATGCTATCAAGCCCCTTGCTTCCCGAGATCCGACCATGAAAACGATTTATTGAATAATTGTTTTATGATGCTTTTTTATATTGGCAAAGTTTCATAGGCGTCATATATATGTATATTATAAAGTGTGAAGTACTAGTTGCTTTATTATTGTGTTTTGTCAGATTGTTAATTCTTCCTTTTCATCTGGCACTTTCCCTGATGACTTAAAAGTGGGGATCATCAGGCCAATGCTTAAGAAACCTAACTTAAACCACAATGAACTTGCTAATTTTTGACCAATTTCTAACACTCCTTTCCTCTCTAAACTTCTTGAGAAATGTGTGGCAAATCAAATTATTAATTTTTTTGATGTAAATAATCTGTTTGATCCTCTACAATCGGCCTATAGAAAATTTTACAGCACTGAGACAGCAGTTGTTAAAATCCACAACGATATAATGGCTGACCTTGATAAAGGTTTTTGTATTCTGGCTGTTTTTTTAGATCTAAGTGCTGCTTTTGACACGATTGATCACAAAATACTCATTCACAGACTTGCATCTCTTGGAATTGGTGGATCTGTTCTTACATGGTTCACATCTTATCTTACATCTAGAAAGCAACAGGTTCGCATTAGAAATAGCTCTTTAGCGTGCATTAATGTAGAGAGTGGTGTCCCTCAGGGTCAATTCTCGGGCCCATTTTATTTCTTATTTACGTCTCTCCTTTGAGCAAAATCATTAGCAGTCTTGGAGTTCGATATCAAAGCCAAGAAAACCATTGAAGCATGTGTTTTTGATGTTCAGTCCTGGTTGTCACAAAACATGCTCTTCTTTAATCCTTGTAAGACTGAAGTTCTCTATTTTCATTCAAAGTACCTTAGAAGACCACCTCCGATTAATGGTGTTGTAGTTGGTAACACAATGTCCTACCATCTTCCAAAGTCTGTAATATAGGGGTTGTTTTTGATCCTATAATGAAGATGGAAAAACACATATACACCGTTTGTAAATCGGTTTCATATCATCTTCTGAAGTTAGTTCATGCACTTATAACATCACGGCTAGATTATTGCAATGCAATTCTGTATGGTGTTCCCGCCTGTCGTTTAAATAGACTACAGCTATGCCTTAACACGGCAGCTCGTTTAGTCTCTGGAGTTTCCAGGCGTGAACATATTTCACCTGTTCTCCATCTTCTACACTGGTTACCAATTGACAAGCGCATCACATTCAAGATTCTGCTCATTACGTACAAAGCCCTGCACAACAAGACACCTGAATACATTTCTCAACTTCTAACGTCACGTTCTGTAACTTGTAGTATGTCTATGAGATCAGCGACCAATAGATTCATACTATCCGTTCCAGCATCGCGACTCAAAACTTACGGTGATATGGATTTTTCTGTCGCTGCACCAAGACTTTGGAACACCCTACCAGCCTCTTTTAAGAACAAACTTAAAACCCACCTTTTTTAAGTTTATCTTTTTACAATTTTTGTAGTTAAGGTGTATTTAAGTGTTTTGTTTTTTGTTCCTTAAAGTCGCAACTCCCTTACATGAGCCGGCGTCGCCACCTTAGCAGTGCACGGTAGTGGTAGTGGTAGTGGTGGCGATGCCGTCTCAACAACAGGAGTGCGCATTTTTCATGCTGCTGCTTGGTTTTTTCCATTCTTGGTCTGCCTGTTTTTGAAGGCTTAATTTATCAATTATTTATTTATTTTCTATTTGTTTATTTATTTACTTTATTAATTGATTTATATTTATTTAACTTATAATAAATAAAATTTAAAAAAAAAATTTTGATTAATATAGGCTCTTTAATATAAGATATAATATAATTTATTTTTTTAAAATTCATGGTCCTACCTTTTTTCGGCGCCTTGAGACGATTTTATTGTGGAAGGCGCACTACAAATATCCCACAATTACCATTACCAAACTCGGCCCCAAGAAATAAAATCGTCCCCAACTTAAAAATCGGCCAAAGCTCGTCGGGCATTCGGACAAAAAAAAAAAAAAAAAAAGGCCTAGTTTTTCCATTCCAGCTATTTCCGGCCAGCTATAAGTCCCATTTTTTATTTTTTAAATCTCGTTTTGGGAGGAGGGGACACCCCCTCCTATACCCACCCCTGGCTCTGGCCTTCGGCCCTTAGATAACGCTGCACGCTATAGTTACACCTATAAATACTTAGCTCCCCAGTCGGACATTTTAGCCCTACACCTCCTAGATTATATCCTTGAGCCACCACTGCAATAGATGTGAAATGTTTATTAAATTCATTTGCAATTTCCTCATCACTGCTAGACAGTTCACCATTTTTGTAATAATATAGGCCAGCCGTCTCGAAAGACGATGCTATACGCCATGAACGATGGCGTGCCTAGGCAGTGAATTTGGAGATCCTGGGTTGCCCATGCGTCAGAATCCCCCTCTATTTCCATCACTGGTGGGGTCCAAAGGAGTGCAAGGGTGCACTACGTTTGGCACCAGCTAGGACGCAGGAGAGGCTGAATGAATGGACCAGTACATCGGGGTAACCCCCTACTCTTCTCGAAAGATGCAATGGGTTCTTTAAAGTGCACACGAGCCAAATGTGTACACTGGGCCTACGGTTTAAAGTCCTTATCCGAGAAGACTTGTTCCACCTCCGGAACCATTTTTGTAAACTCTTTCAATATTGGGTTTGTTTTTGAGAATTAATTCGCGAATAGTTTTCTAATTCTTTTTTGTATTATTAATATTATTATTTATAGCAGATGAACAGTATTTTCATTTTATAAAGGTTTCTATTAATTGTTAAGCTTTTTCCTAGCCTTCGTGGCTATTTGTTTTGTGAGCTTTTTTTGTAGTGATTATTCCTATCTTTAGCTGAATCTGAGAAAATCACTCGTCATCATTGTCATGAAAACCAGCAATTTTGTTGTCACAAAAGGCATCTTTGACGTTCCATATTTGTTATTGTAAACTTACTTGGTGCAGATGGATCGATAGAGGTTTTGCTGCAGTGACATCTCGCTGCTGGCGACTCGGTGCTGGAGCCGACTCGCTGCTGGCGAATCACCTAGTACGCATGCGCAAATGTATGGAACGCCGATCACGCAAAAATAGTGATTTTAGAATTTTTAGTTTTTAGTTTGACTCGGTAATTGGTTCATGCTGCTGCGAATGACCTAGTACGCATGCGTAAAGTATGGAACGCCGACTACGCAACAATTTGCTGATGATGGAGCTGCTGCGTTTGACCTACATGTACATGTATGGAGCGCCGAGGAAGTAAATACCATTTTAAACACATGCGCAGATCGATTCGCCAGCAGCGAGTCGCCAGCACCGAGATGTCACTGCAGCAAAACACTACTGGATGGATCTACTAATATGCAAATTAGTCTTGGTACGGGGTTATGTGATGCTAGTGAGGGTTTTGTTTCAGTGTACATGTGTGTGCCGGTAGTAACCACGGTTGTGGAATCCGTTTGGGAGTTAGCCGAAGCTAACAGTGGCCTTCCTTGGTAATACATTGAAACAATTACTCCTGGTTAGCCGTCGTGACGGTGAGTAAAACTGTACAATTAAATATTGCTATGCTAGGCCTAATTTTTGTGAGTATTGATAATTATATCGGTATAGGTCCATTTATTCATGTATTGTGATATATAAGATGGGGGTGGTTAACCATGTGTTTGTAAATGGGGCACGCTCCGTGGAATTATGGATTGTTTTTATTTAAAGGCTTTATGGATAGGCTTGATTATCTAGACCAGTGTTGGTTGAGTATCGAGACGACTGTGGATGCCGTGTTGTGTATCGTCGCTTCATTCAAGCCAAGTCTGTTTAAACGTGTATACCAGACGAGCGGAGCTGTACGCGTCTGAGGTCGTTCATGTCAGAGGAAGCGACTTGTGTGAACATATAGACAAGCGGAGCTGTACGCGTCTACCTTTGGGATTATTCAGTGTGGGAAGCGTGTCTGGCCGTTTATTTGCAAGTATACTCATGAGAACCTTTTTTATTTATTATGCCATGGCTTTATTTTGTTAAATCCATTCATAGATTATTGGTAGATGAGTTGCGCCTCTTCTACAGTGCGAATGGTACCCACGTTGTGTGGGTTAAGTGTTTAATAATAGATCTTTGCTTTATTTTGTTAAATCCATTCATAGATTATTGGTAAATGAGTTGCGCCTCTTCTACAGTGCGAATGGTACCTACGTTGTGTGGGTTAAGTGTTTAATAAATTATTGTTATTTTAAATTGTTTTGTGTATTGTACTTTGTTCAGTAACTCGCAGGCACATAAAAGGCAGTTTCCACTAGACTTTCGTGACATAAATGGGGGCTCGTCCGGGAAAATTGACTTTTCATTGTATAAAGTAAAATAAAAATTTACTATAAATATTTAGATATTATGATGTGCCGAAAAGAGTTACACAATTGAGACAAGGTGATTGTATTTTGCTCTTATATCTTTGTATGTTATTTGATGAGATTGTGATATAGATTTAATAGATTTATTTTGTTAGTTGATTACATAGTGCACAAAAACCATGGCTACTCCGGTAGATATTGACAAATTGACTGAAGCTGGGAAAGAGTTAGGTTATGTTGGAAAGCCCTTGCAAGATTATGTGAGAGAATTGAGAGAAAGTATTTTAGAGAGACAAGAGAAGGAGAGGTTAGAAAGAGCTGCAGAAAGAGAATTAAAGATAGAGGCTGCTGTGCAAATGGAAAGGCTGGAACAGGTTAAGGTTGAGAAAGAAAAGCAGGAGATAGAAAAATTGAAATTAAAAATGGAGTTGTTGAAGGCTGAAAGAGAAGGTGGTTTTAATAGTAGTGGAGAGAGTGGCGCGTTTGCTAATGTAGGTGACAATGTTCCTCAGTTGAAGTGTAGTATGAAGAATCTTAAGATACCTACCTTTGATGAGGTTAAGGATAAGATGGATGTATACTTGATGAGGTATGAGAGGTATGCAATTGCAATGAACTGGCCGAGGGAATATTGGGCCATTCAGCTTGCTCCTTTGTTATCCGGTAGGGCTTTGCTTGTGTATACTACCATTGAGATTGAGTTTGCACACAATTATGAGATACTGAAACGTGAATTGTTGAGAGTTTATAGACTAACAGAAGCCGGTTATAGAGAAAAGTTTAAATTTTCGGCTCCTGAAGAATTTGAGTCTGCTGCCCAATACTTGTCCCGCATTGGTAGTTATTTAGATCGTTGGATTTGTTGTGCAGGTGTTAAACAGACCTATAATGACCTTAGGGAATTTGTTATTAAAGATCAGTTTTTGTCCAAGGTTCCCGAATCATTAGCAGTACATCTTAGAGAAAAGGTAGATTGTGATGACTTTGCAAAGGTTGCCGATGTATACATAGATGCTCATGGGGGTTGGGGAAAGCTAGATAATTTAACCAGTAAAATCAATGCTCAGCAAAGGAAAGAAACTAATCCTAAATTCAAAAGGCAATCGTGCCAACAAAACCGTGGAAGTTACAAAGGTAACAATTATAGTAATTTAAAAATTCATAATAATACCCATAATGGAAGAGATAAAAGTTTGTTTGTTTGTTTGTTTAATGGTTTTTCTCCAACACTTCAAATTAACATTACAATATTAAGGTGATAACAATATAATAATAGTACAAGGTTACAAAATCGGTGTAAGTACAAGTGAAAATATAGTTATAGGAAGTGTGGAAGGAGGTCAAAATAAGTAAAAAACTTAAGACTTGACCCCCTGTAAAAAGAAAAAACAAAAAAACAAAAAAAAAAACAAAACCAGAAGATGGTACACAAAACTTTAGAACACAGCATAAAGTGTGAAATCAAGCTTAATTATGGTAATGATAATAATAATAATAATATTAATAATAATGAGATGATTATAATAAATAGATAAGTAATGATCAAAGAGAAACTTACTCACCATATATCTGCACCAAAGACTTTTTATAGGTAATCTTGAAACTTGAGAGAGATGGTTTGTTTTTTAAAGAGTGTGAAAGACTCCCCCAAAGCTTAGGACCGGTGTAAAGGATTGAATGGCGTCTGGTATGAAACTCACATTTTTTTAGCATAAAAATTGGTAACAGAAAAACGAGTGAAGTGTGAATGAGTATCAGAGGGTTTGTTAAATAATGAACTAATGTGTGCCAGAAGTAGATTGTTGGTTAAACGGTACATAAATAAGGCAGATTGTAGTTTATTAATGTCAAAGACGTTTAATATTTTCCAGTTAAAAAATAATTGTTTGGAATGAGATCTGAAGGGAGCCCCCTGAACAAATTCGAACTGCACGTTTTTGTAGGTTAAATATTTGATCAATTTTGGTCGTTTCAAAACTTGTCCAGGGGCATAAGTTGCTGAACTTATCCACCGTTACAGCCCAAGAGATATTACAATAAGATATATAAGCAAGTATCAGAGTGTTGTACAGAGTGAAAATGATAGTATAGGGAAGTGTATATTTGAGTTTATTCATTATACCGACATTTCTTGCCACCAAATTAGAAATGCTATTAACGTGAGGTTTCCATGACAATTTGGAATCAATTATGACCCCGAGAAATTTTGTTTCGTACACGCGCGTGATTTCTAGGTTATTTATAAAAATATTAAAGTTACGAAAAAGTGCTTTGGAGTTCCTATTTTGAAATATAATATAATTTGATTTGGATTGATTAAGGGATAATTTATTAATTTTAAACCAATCAGAAATCCTATTAAGCTCCGTATTAGTTGTGTCCATTAGAGTTAGTTTGTTTTTATGGGAATGAATGATGCTACAGTCATCAGCATAAAGGATAAATTTAAGATAGGAACTATTGGGAAGATCATTAATATATATTAGAAATAAGAGAGGACCAAGAATAGAACCTTGTGGTACACCACATGTAATCGGGGACAGATTTGAATTAAAGGTGGAAAAAGAAGTAAATTGTTGGCGATCTGTCAGATAACATTTGATAAGTTTGAGAGGCAGGCCCCTGACACCATAATGCTGGAGTTTTTGGAGGAGAATATCATGATTTATGGTGTCAAAGGCCTTACTCAGGTCAAGGAAGATACCAACCGTATATTCATTGTTGCTTAAAGCAGAAGTAAATTTATCATAGAGATCAAGAAGTGCAAGTTCAGTAGAAAAATGTTTTCTAAATCCATACTGGTTTTTGAATAGTATACCATATTTGGTAAAAAATGCATAAAGACGATTATAAATAAGGCGCTCCAAAAGCTTAGATAAAGTAGGTAAGTGGGAAATCCTGTCTCTTATACACATCTAGATGTGTATTATGGTGTCAAAGGCCTTACTCAGGTCAAGGAAGATACCAACCGTATATTCATTGTTGCTTAAAGCAGAAGTAAGTTTATCATAGAGATCAAGAAGTGCAAGTTCAGTAGAAAAATGTTTTCTAAATCCATACTGGTTTTTGAATAGTATACCATATTTGGTAAAAAATGTATAAAGACGATTATAAATAAGGCGCTCCAAAAGCTTAGATAAAGTAGGTAAGTGGGAAATCGGTCTATAATTCGTAAAGTAATGGGGGTCATCTTTTTTGAATATGGGAATTACTTTGGAAATTTTAAGTAAGTTGGGAAAAATTCCCACCTGAAATGAAATATTAAAAATATGGGCTAGCGGTTTAGAAATGTGGTGCATAATATTCTTAATAACACGATTTGAATACCCATCAAATCCAGGACTTTTGTTTTCTTTCATATTATTAATAAGGATAATTATTTCATTATCAGTCACGGGAGTCAAGTAAAAAGAATTTATAATTGGAGTATAAAGAAAAGATATAAAGTTGGAATTATTGGAAGGTTGTTCAATACCTTGTACAAGTTTATGACCAACATTAGTAAAATAATTGTTAATATGTTGCGCAATAAGTGAGGGATTAGTAATTTTCAAATTATTTAGAAAAAAATAAGATGGAAGATTTGGTTTAGTGTTTTTTTCCAAAATACCGTTAATAGTTTTCCATGTCTTATGGATATTGTTAGAGTATTGATTAAATTTATTGGTATAATAGTTTATACAAGCAATACGAAGCAGACTGGTTAATTTATTTCTGAATTTAGTATATTTAACTTTGTCTTTCAGTTTACCAGATTTGAGGTATACGATATACAATTTATTCCTAGTGGAAATTGAGTTGATTAAGCCGACGGTTATCCAGGGTTTCTGTTCCTTACGAAAACTACGTTTAATGCATTTGGTTATGATGTTGATACTGTACAGGGTAGTTAGCATGTTGTTGAATATATCATAAGCACGGTTTGGATCATTATGAATTTCATAAATTAAAGACCAATCCGTATTGTTAAGGTCATTAGACAAAGAAGTTATGGATTCATTGTCAATTTTTTGCTGATATATATATTTGTAATTGTTTATTAGAGAGGGCTTAGAATAATTTGATTTATGTGTTAATGAAAATACAGGAAAGTGGTCAGATATATCAGAGTATAAAATACCAGTAGATATTTTATCACTTAAATTATTACAATAAATGTTGTCGATAAGAGTAGCTGTTGTGGAAGTAATCCTAGTGGGTTTAGTAGTTAAAGGATAAAAATTATTATTTAACATTGTACTTAAAAATAAGGATGTGTTTTTATGAGTGTTGCACTTTAATAAATCAATATTGAAATCACCACAGATGTATGCAGTTTTGCTTTCAATATTGATAGAATCAAGAATATTTGATATATTATTATTAAATGAACTTACAGATGATTTAGGCAATCGGTAAACAACTCCTAGAATAATGTTTTTGGGTTCGGCTATAACTTCAATGAATAAAGATTCCGAGTTGGAAGAAATAAAAGATGACAGATCAGCACGATTAAAATGGTTCAGTCTTTGGTCCAGATATATGGCTACACCGCCCCCTGTTCTACAAGTTCTAGATGTCTGGATTAGCTTATAACCGTTGATGCTATAAAACGAGAAATTGGTTTTATACGAGTTAAAAAATGTTTCGGAAAAACATAAAGCAGAAAAATCGTGGTTAATTGTATTTAAGTAGTCAGTTACTTCATTAAAGTGTCTAACGAGGCTTCGAGAATTTAAGTGATATATACTAAATGATGATACAAGACAGGAAAACTTATCGTTAAAGCTATCACTATGTTCATAGTTACATGGTTCATTGTTACTAGAATAAAAATCTTCATGTGTAGATCCATATAGAGTAATGTCAAGCGGATTAAAAGTAAAGGATTTAAGCCTATCAAAGTCTCCAATGTGATCAGGAGTAGGGTTCTTTGAAACACATAAAAAATCAACATCTTCTATAATATTATGAAAAGGAAATACGTTTCCAGTACAGGAAAAACAGATCCAAGAAACATCATGAGGCCTATTTGTACATAAAGTATGAGCTATAGAGTTGCATCCAATACATTTTAGTAATCCTCGATTTGAGTCTTGTGAACTATAACAAACTGTACATATCATGAGAAGAGCTTAGGTTAGAACTATAGGGAACATCATAATAAAATAACATCCGAAATATAAGATCATTATAATAATAGTGTAATAAGATCACTACAAAACGAATATATATTTAATGTAAGAATAGTAAAGATAAATAAACAGGTAATACAGGCTTGAATAAACAACAAAAGTAACAGAATACAATATGCTGGTTCATACTATGCTTTCTTTTATAACGTACTGCGAAAAAATGTACATTGAACATGAGTAAGACCAAAGTAACATAGGTAGATCGCCCTCTAATAGAAAATGTCATTATTGCCATGAGGAGGGTCACTTTTGGCGTCAATGTTCTAAGGCTCCTAAAGATTTTGCACCTATGCTAGCAATGGTGGTTGAAGTAATGAGGGAGGAAAGGGCTCCAGATATGATGCCAATCCAAAGTACAGTTTGCGATAAGCTTGATAGAAATTTGCCCGTGTATGATGGTTTCATTGGGAATAAACAGGTCCGGTTGTTACGAGACACATGGTGTAATGGTATCGTTGTTAAAAGTTAGTTGAACCTATGTCCATGACCGGTCAAACAAAGTCCTGTGTTCTTATTGATGGGTCTGTTCGGAAATTTCCTGTTGCCCTTGTGCACATTGATACGCCTTTTCTAGTGGGAGAAGTTCATGCAATTTTCATGGAAAGACCATTGTATGACTTGATTGTAGGTAACGTAGAATCTGTTAAAATCCCGGTCATCCCAAATCCTCATTGGCGAAAAACGAATGTCCATGAAAGTATGGTAGCTAGAAATAATGGTGAGAGTAAAGACATTGTAGTAAATGCAGTGGAAACTCGAAATCAAGTTAAAGAAAAAACTAACACTATAAACATAAACCATTAATTGTGAGTGATATGTTAGGTAACATTATTAGCACGCAAAAGCTTTCTGAAGAACAAATGTCCGACAAGTCACTTAATAAATTAATAGAGCTTGCTCGGGAAGTGAGACAGTTTGAATGTAAAAAACGGTGACAGTTTCTGTTACAAGATCAAGGATAAAATTCTATATCGTTTGTACCATAGTAAGAATGGGTGCACTGACCAAGTAGTTGTTCCATCTAAATTCCGTTGTGACATAATGAGATGTTAAGAGGTTTTGCAGGTCATGCGACATTTGTCAACGGGTTGTTTCAAAAGGTCGGGTTACTACCCTGCAAAAACCAGGGTGTTAAATTTGATTCTTTTTTGGTATCTATATCTTGCAACACCAAGTGGTGTTAAATTAGGTTTAACACCAAAACCAGTGTTACATATGCAACACTTGTAGGTGTTAAATCAACACCAATTCTTGGATTTAACTTTTACACCAAAGCCGGTGTTATGTTGAATTTTAACACCTTCTTCAGTATCTATATCCTGCAACACCAAATGGTGTTAAATTATTTTAACACCATAATCGGTGTTACTTATGCAACACCTGCAGGTGTGAAATCAACACCAATTTTTGGATTTAACACCAAAGCCAGTGTTATACGTTGATTTTTTTTTAACTGTTGTTAAATAAACTTTAAACAATTTTTAAAAAGTGGTATTGTTAACTCCAGCCAGAGTCATTTTACACAAAATAAAATGCCGACTCAAAACAAGAAACAATGTAATGAATATTTCAGAACATATTTAAAAAGGTGTGAAGGGAGAGTTATTTGAATACTTAAAATAACATTTCTACAATATGAATCACAAACACACAAACAAAAATTTATTCGGAAATGAATAAACTTTAATAACAATAAATTTTAAAATTGAACATACTAAAATTTTTTTTCGAACAATGATCTATTGAAAATTACAGCATTTAATTTGCTTACATATTCTCAGAACAATTTTTTTATAGAATCATACTGAACAACTTACACAAAATAAAATGCTGACTCAAAACAAGAAACCATGTAATGAATATTTCAGAACATATTTAAAAAGGGGTGAAGGGAGTTATTTAAGTACTTAAAATAACATTTCTACAATATGAATCACAAACACACAAACACAAATTTATTCGGAAATGAATAAACTTTAATAACAATAAGTTTTAAAATGAACATACTTAACATTTTTTTTTGCAACAATGATCTATTGAAAATTACAGCATTCAATTTGCTTACATATTCTCAGAACAATTTTTTTTTATAGAATCATACTGAACAACTAAACATTTTTAAAAGTACATTAGTACTCATTGATCAATTATCAAAAATTACTACAATCTAGGTTGTTTTTAAACAATCATCAAATAATTGTAATAAATATTTTTATATTTCAGTTTTGATCAAAGTTTTTAAAAAACAGTCATAACAAATGACCATATCGTTAAACTGTATTGTTAAATCAAAATATTCTTGCATTGCTGAGATAACTAATAATGCCTTAATCTCCTTTTGAAAATTCAAACTTTCAACAAGTTTTTTATCAATTCAACTACATTAAAACAGTCATATTAAGACAATCAGTTTTGATCTAATGTATACGAACAATACAGTGAATTTTTAAGGTGGACTGTTTTAGTTAACTCAATAATTATAATACTTTACTTTTAAAAATGAATCAATTGTATGCATGGACTGTATATGTTTTAGCTACCTCCTTCAACAATAGTACTTCTACTTGAGTTAAGCAAAAACAAGTTAAAATAGTTTGAAATTATTTGTCAGTTATTTTTCACTTTTATCACTTTACTAAAAGTATAAGTTCAAACTTTAATCATTAAAGTAGTTCTTCCAAATACAAATAATTAATGTTTAATTTTGTGTCAACAAAATAAGTATAAACAACACATGTCTTGGAGCATACTACAAATGTGCACTCTTTGATAAATTTGATAAAACATATAATGGTAAATGGTCCATCAGTTCACATTGAGTTTTAACAACTACACACACTGGATATTTTAATTTGATAGAAAAAGCATGGTAAATGTACAGCTGTAGAATAATGCTTCCCAAACCTTTAACAAAAAATAGACCTTGTCTCCATATATTTGAATATGTCGAATTTTACCAAATATTGGCAACTCTACATTAATAGGCCTACTCATTGATCTATTATCAAAAATTACTACAATCTGGGTTTTTTTAAACAATCATCCAATAATTATAATGATCAGTTTTGATCAAAGTTTTTAAACACATAGTCATAACAAACAAATGACTATATTGTTAAATTTCAAAAAAATTAAATTACCCTTGCAATGCTGAGATAACTAATATTGCTTTATTTTTAACAAATTTAGGACCTTTTAACAAGTTCTCATCAATTCAACTACGATAAAATAGTTATATTAAGACAATCAGTTGTATATTGAATATTACTGTGAGTTTTTAAAATGGACTGTTTTAGTTAACTCAGCAATGATATAATACTTTCTTTTTAAAATGAATAAGTTGTATGCATATGGACTACATAATAATATTTAATTACTATCGCATTACTTACATATCCTCCAGCTGTGTGGGGATCTTTTAGTGATGTGAAGAGGTTTACTATGCCTGCTGCATATCGATGATTTTGGTGTCCGTCTATAAAACAAAATTGCAAATTTATGATTACATTATTTTATTTTAAACGAAAGTTTTCCCAAAAATAAAGTCTCTATAGATGGATGTAATGTCTTTAATAAGATTTATGTGAGCTGAATGGCTTTAGCAGTTCAGTAGTTACAATCATAACACAATATCAATATGTTATAACAGAGTCGCTTGTTTGTTCTGGTAGTGAGAATGAAAAACCAGTGGGCCCACTGTGAATAGTCACAATCATGCAGTAATATTGGGGGAAAAAAATTAAGGGGGGGGGAAAAATTAATAGGTAGGTGAAAAATTTTAACATTATGGGCAACTATTATTAAAAAATTATTAGTAATATAATTAGAAATTTTAAACGCAAATTAAAAAGCATGTTAGAAGATTCAACTTTATATTAAACCTTAATGACATGCCTCATTTGCTTGGTGCTCTTTTGTTTTTTTATTCTTCTATTAGATTTTTATTTTTTTATTATTATTTTTAAAGATACTTACTTTTGGATTCTATTTTGATAACATTTAGGTTCATACATTAATTATTAGGTTCATACATTAATTATTTTCGGTAGAATGTACATTTTATTAAATTTTTGATTATCTTCTTTCTGTAACAAATTTATTTTAATCACATTTTGCTTTTATTGCTATTATTATTATTAAACTTTTGACAGACACGAAATAAATTTTGTGTCTGATAAGTCACAGCCACATTTTACAAAAATGGAACATCCTTATACATTGCCTTCCATCGGGTTCTGTTTTTAGCAATTTTTTTTAAGTTTATAAAAATCAACAATGTTATCGAGATTCAGCCCTTTTTCTTTTATATCAGATTTAATTTTTGCAAATAAATTAACACAGTGTCTTCCTTTCAAGATTCAGCAAAAAAAGACTTCCCAAAAGATTTCCTTGTGTTTCCAAAGAAAAATGGGCTGTGGTAAACTGTCTGGTAATGTGCTTTATCCTGTAATAAAGGTTGTTTATTAACAGAGCTTCACTACCATGCGTGGCCGTTACACCAACGCTCCAGTTTTATTATTATTGCTATTATTATTATTATTTTCTAAATATGCCTTTTATAATTTTTACTGTTTTTTAAAAATTCTTTTAGTTATGTGTATTCATTTATAATTATTCGAATGTACATTATATTAAATCTTCAATTATCTTGTTTCTTTAATTTAATACATATATATTTAATTTATATTTAACTTTGATATTTATTGTATTTTTTAATTACATTTTAAATTTTTTTCTGTTTATTAGGTTTATTTTAATTCTATTTAACGTCTTTTAATTAATTTACTTACGTTGTTTTTGTAATTGTACTCTATTGTTTTTGCTTTGTAATTATTTGAGGGTCCCAAATGATCAGCCCCGGTTGGATGGACCGCCCTCAAAAAATATTGTTTATGAAATAAATAAATAAATAAATAAATAAAGATAGTAGGTTTTGATGTCTGACAAAAACAAAACAAAACACTACAACATCAAAGATGAAATAATATACAAAACATAATAAAGGTGACTAATAAAGTACAAAGTGGAAGCCTACTTACCCATGTTTATCCATCATGTGATCAACCAGTATATTAACTAAAAGCCTCCTTGATTTTTCAGATAAATTTTTTTATCATGCTCAATAAGGATAGCTTCACCATCTTTCCTTGTTATGAGGATGTTCTTTATGAACTAAAAATTAAAAATTTAAAAACTATTATGTAATAATGTATGAAACTTGCATCTGCAATACTGACTGAAATAAGTGAGGATTCTACATCTTAACATACAATAAAATTATGTTAAATAATAACAAAAATTAAAAAAAAATTGAAATATTTATTTTTTTCTCAACAAAAAATAGTCAAACATGATGTTGATTTTAAATATTACATAAATATCTAAGAGGCAAAACACTGTGTAAAGGCCAGACCAAGTTGGTAAAGTTGGGTGAACTAAGGGTCTGGTAAATGAAATAGTTCTTTATTTATGACAAAGGTTTAATATTATACTAACAATACATAATTAAACCGAAAGGTCCACTGATTAATCTCAGGTAAGAAAGTATAATACATACTCCAAGTATTGAAATACACGCCATCGTGTTGGGATTCAGTATTTCGACATTAATTATGTCATCATCAGGAAACTGATGATGACATAATTAATGTCGAAATATTGAATCCCAACACGATGGCGTGTATTTCAATACT